TCAGTGGCGTGGGGGCAACTCCAGCAGAGGCTGAAGAAAGCCACAGGAAGCCACAGAATGGCGGGTTACTGGAAAAAACTCTACCAGGACCTTGGAACTCCAAGCTTCTAATTCTTTATATAAACCATTTTCACATACTACTGCAATCTGTTTTCCCAACAGTCCAGGAAGTGGGAAAGAATTGTATTACTATCATTATTCCTGTTTTGCAGACGAGAAAACAGAGGCTACCATATGAAGAAAAGAGAAACCAGCTATGCTGCTGAGCTTATAACCTGTGAATATTTCTCGGGAAAACAGTCTGGCAATTTATGTAAAATTCCTTCAACTAAGCATATCTTTTTATATAGCAAATATATTAAAAAGAATTTACTCTAGGAAGCAATCAGATCTATATATGCATTTACCACAGCAATGGTTATAATTCCAAACATGTAAAAATGGAAGAACAAATGCTCAGTAAAAGAGGAAACTGGTTAAATATGACGCTTTATAGGATGAAATGGCATTAAATTTAAGTTATCGATGGAATTTTTTACACAATATGTTTCTAATTGAAATTTTCAAGCTGCCGAACAGTTTCTATAGTATCAACTCATTTTGTTAAATAATAAACATGTATGCACAAAAAAGACTGGGGGAGGGGCACCTGGGTGGTTCAGTGGGTTAAGCCTCTGCTTTCGGCTCAGGTCATGATCCCAGGGTCCTGGGATCGAGCCCCGCATTGGGCTCTCTGCTCGGCAGGGAGCCTGCTTCCCCCTCTCTCTCTGCCTGCCTCTCTGCCTACTTGTGATCTCTGTCTGTCATATAAATAAATAAATAAATCTAAAAAAAAAAAAAAAAAAAAAAGACTGGGGGAAAAAAAAGGTCCTTAAAGAAAAAAAAAAAAAAGTCCAAGGGGGCTAGTGCCAGCCCGTCCTAGAACATGAAGGGATGGAAATAGGAGAGGGCAGATACATAAGAAAACCTTCTCTTTGGGTTCTTGTTCTTACTCTGTAGCCACGACCCCCACCCTAGGGTCCTTCATCTAAGCGGACTTATCTGATGCTCGGTGACAACAGTGATACTAGACTCAGGTTACTCGTGGTAAAGGACATCACGGGTGTGCTGCCTGTTTCAATTTACACGGGAGGAAACCAAGGGCGAGGAGGGCTGTCACTTGGTCCAGGTTTCTGTGGCTAGTTTAGAAGACCTAGGTTTCCATTCTAGTCCAGATTTCAATTCCGGGCTTTTTGTCTACACCACTGCTGCCAACAACCATTAGGAAATTTGAATGGTTGACAGAATTCTGCAGCTATTAAAAATCAAATGTTAGAACATACATAGCATTGTGGGCAAATGTCCATGGCATAAAAGCAGGCCACCCAACACATACAGACCCCTGCTCTGGGCAGGGGAGAGGGTGCATCTGTAGAACAAAGAGACGCAAAGGGATGATCACCTAAGTAATAATGGGATATATCTCTGAGTAGGAGAATTAACAGACGATTTTCATGTGCTTTATTTTTCAGTTTTAGAAAATGAATATGCATTAAATTTTTAATTCAGAAGAAAGTGGACATTTGTAGCATCATCTAGATTTTCTCATAATTTCTGAGCCAAGCTTTAGTCTGCTTATTCCACTGAAAGCAAACATTTCTTGAGAAAAAAAAAAGTGAATCACTAGGTAAATATTGATCTGTTGCTAAGTGAACAAGAGACACATCATCCCATGTAAGAACAGTTTTCCTCCAGACATTAAAAGATGCATTTCTAATGTATCTTTGGATAGACGATCTTGAAATAGACTCAAAAACTAACTTTAATGCTAAAGGGAGGGGAAAAAATCTTTATTCTCATAACGTGTTTTCAATCTTCACCTTTCATCAGTTTTTTTTTCCCTATACCAGAGCAGCAGGGAGATATGCTCTGATACCACACGTAGGTCATGATAAGCAGCTGTCTTCAGTCAGCGTTACTGGGTGACACCATTAGCTCGCAGTAAATCAGTTAACTGAACTTTCTAGCCCAGACGATTGTTTGTGAAAGCTGCAGACAGGCTTCCTCTAGGAAAAAAAAAATCTTCAAAGTCTTAGGAGAAGCACTTTTACCCATAACAGACATGTTTCCTGTCCTCAGCTTCAAATATATGAGAGGCCATTACAGAAATGTGACACAGAGAGAGAACTTCAAAGATAGTGGCTTCTGACAGAGTGATTAAAATAGAAAGAGGGTCACGTGGGAATTGGAAGGCCACTCGGGGGCTGGTCCTGCTAAAGACTCTCATCTCAGGCCAGCCCCTTGCTGTTCTCTGCTCCCTCCTCTCCCTCTATATCCTGACAAGAATCTGTCCATCACCCTGTGGATGAGAGGGGGACCAATGCTGGATTCAGTTATCTTCTCTTCTCCTGGGAAGTTTCCTCAAAATGAGAGGAAAAATGAGTCCAACCTCAAAGTCGCTAAGAAGTTTAAATGCATAATGTCTACGAGAGACACGCAACAAATTCAAAATGCAGGAATGAGGACAAAAGAGGGTAACATGAAAACATTCTGTTGATAAGCTACATGAGGGCAGGATATAGTTATTCCTAAAATTAGAATCTAAAAAAAAAAAAAAAAAAAAAAGAGGTTAGTTGGGGCATCTGGGTGGCTCAGTCAGTTGAGCATCTGACTCTTGATCTCAGCTCAGGTATTGAGCTCAGGGTCGTGAATTTGAGCCCCACACTGGGCTCCAGTAGGGAGGCTACTTAAAAAAAAAAAAAATAATAATAATAAAATAAGAGGTTAGTTAAAAGATGGAGGAGAAATAGTGAATCATTTTGTCCTTTGATCATTTGTCATGTTCAAGTCCAAGAGCTTGTCTGTTTAGAATTTAGCTGTTTAAGTAATGTTCCAACATGTTGAAAGGAGGCTGGTCCTATTCTCAAAGGGACAGGTCTTGGAAGGAAACAGTTTCTAGGCAACTTGTCCCTTTGCACCTACCTTCAAACCATAGCTAAGTAACTGACACTGATCTCTATCCTTCCCTATTTGGGTTTTACCAGGAGGGAGCGGGTGACTGGTTAACAACAAGGGTGGACACTGCCATGAGGTTCAAGGACATCTGTGGCCAGGGACACACTTCCAGACCAGGGGAGTGGGTGGGACCATCTCAGCATGTGGCACCATACCAGCACCTCAGGCTCAGGGAGACAGTGTGCTAGGGCAGAAAAAGAACACAGAGAACTGTTGGATTTAATATTTCTGGGTTGTTTTTTAAAGGAAAACATGAAAAGAGGTAAAAAGACCTGCCATAATCAATTTTTTCTTTTTTAACTTTGAACAATTAGTATGGGATCAGACCATCCGTGATGATTTTCTGGAGACCAGACGACCGCCACTTCTCCGTGGCTTCCCCTGGTGACTCAGGAACCTATGCTGGGAGAACTTTGCACTCATCTACACTCTTCATGTACATGTTGACTCAATACTTTTGCTTTTTTCTCTAAAAATGGGATAGCCGAGGAACTTGGGTCTAACTAGGTCCCACTCAATGTGACAGCAGGTGCAAGTGTCACGTGCCAGTCTGGACTAGTGAATTCTCTAAATCAAGCAGTAAAGAAAAATGCTGGCCGACGTGGAAAACATACAGATTCGGCACACCCCCCGTGCGGTGAGGAGCTCTGTCAGTGCGTACACTACTGAGTAAGAACGCCTGGTCTCATGCCCGGCTGTGGGGCTACTCGACCTGCATGGTGATGGGCAGCCCCCCGAGCAGGAGCAGTTTCAAAGTCAACATGATGACATTTATACTGTACATGGCACTTCCAAGTATTAGGCAACGTGACAGAGTTACGCATCACTCTCGACTTGATAATAACTTTCGAGTTCTGGCACTGCTGTTCAAAGTAAAAAAACTCCACACAAACACCTCAAACATCCAAAGCCCACAACGGCAGCTCTTTGCCCTTGACTAACAGCATGTGAAAATCGACTAGACGATTGCACAAGACAAAGCAAGAACCCAAACTCCCAGATGTGTCTGCTGGGCACTTGTCCACTCTTAGAAGACAATCATTGACCCCATGTCACCAACCCCCTAGAGGGGGTGAAAAGTTATATCAGGAGAAGGGGAAAGCTCCTATTACTATCCATTGAGTCTTAGAAACTCCACTGAGTTTCGTCCTCATGCTGAGGGGACACCGTTTAGTAAGATAGTTCTAGAAGAAGCTCCCATCTTAAGGCACGCCTGGCAGAACGTCATCTGTTTGAAGAAGCACAAAGAGTGAAGCAGCAATGATGAGCGAGGAGGAAGGAATTCAGACCCAGTACAGCAGGGAATGCTACATGCTTCATGCCCTGGGCTGGCCCTGAGCCCCGAGGGAAGACAGAGTTACTCAGAGAACATCAACAGGGAAAAATTCAACCACGCACCTCTAGAAAACAGGGGTGACAGAGAATGAAGATTCCCGTTATTTCACCACAACATTTCCTCTCTCAGAAGCAGTGCTCACCCTCGCCCCCTCCAAAATACGGTCCTGGGGCTTCACAGAGAAACTTGTGTCCCTCACAATTCAAGTATTCTCTTAGCCGACGTCTAGTACGTTTTTCAGTAATGCAGATGGAGAGTACCCAACCCGTAAATCTGTGCTTTTTTTCCTTGCTTATTATCTTAGGTGAGGATGGTTCCTCTGCCCTAGGACTGGCAACAGTGCACTTGAGAAAGGTCTAGAACACTGTCCAAGTTTTCTGTATCTACCTAAAAATGACTACTGCTTTCTGCAAGGCCCTTCTCATAGATGTGGCCACCACCATGTGGAGAAAGGGATGTTTCCAGGCAACGAAGTTCTCCCCCCGTCCCCTCCCCTCCAGGATTCGAACACCAAGCTTGTATGGAGACCGTGGCTATTTTAACACCAAAGACACTACTTTACATGGATGCCTTAAGGACACAACGTGAGAGGAGTCTTCTCTGAACGCTGTACCAGCCAAACAGACCAGTAGGGGGTGGGGGGCGCCCTGTGGGCGTGGGGTCTACTCACTCTTTGGTCAGAAGAGGACAGGACTTGAGCAGAAAGCGCGAGAGCCCAGAGTCCTGGAAGTAGAGGTCAGGCGGGGCGGTGGGGCTCTTCAGATTCAAACAGCGGACGATCACGTACAACACGGCAGCCACGGCCGCCAGCTTCACCCCATCAAACACGGCCGGGAGCTCGGGGGTCTCTAGCATGGCATTCATCTTGAGCTGGGGAGCAGAAGCACACATCTAGGGTTAGAAGTACAGGGAGGAAGGGCAGAGCCCACGGTGACATGTCACAATCTGGGTATGTCCATAGGGCCACCAGGGTGACTTGTCATCAGGGCCTTCAAGCCACCAGAGGACTGGCAACAACCCAAATCACAGTCTTGTGCACTGACAAACTGGGGAAGGTTTGGTTTGGTTCTAATCTGGTGAGCACTTGGAAGATGAGCAAACTAGAAAATGCTGAGAATAGTGTCCTTTGGGGAGCAGGAGAAACAAGTCCAGCCCAAGAGGCTCAAGCTGGACAGGAGGTGGTCCCCTGATTTCCATGGGCTGGCAGCCTTGAGTGGCTCTGTACCAGGTGTGTGTGAAGCACTGTGTTTACAGCCTGGGAGACAAAGCAAGCGGGGCCTGACTCTGCCATCTGCTCCCAGTGGGGGTGGGGGAGGGGCAGCCCCAGTGCTAGAGACGAGTTCAGACTCCACCCGGGGGAGGGGGGGCAGCCATCCTTGAGCCTGGGTTTCAGGCAGTGTGAAATGGAACTCAGCCAACTTCTTTCCCCATCCTCATGGATGATAGCCATTAGTCCAAAATCCAGACCAAAATTAAAAATTGGGGGTGTAGAGAATGTGTATGCAGGTCTGGCTTTTCCCCAAGCTCTCCTGATATTTTATCTTTTGAGGTAGCTTTACCTTATATACAACACACACACACACACACACACACACACACACACACCCCTTCCAAACACATAAAACCAAACATCAACAACAGAAGCAACAGCAATGAAAACCCAGTTTTTTCCTCACTGCTTAGCAGAAAAGCAGAACATTAGCTCTTACGTTAAAAATCAGGGAAACCACGAGCTGAACGAAAAGGAGAAAATGGTAACTCACAGCCGAGGTAGCTATGGCAACAGCTTCCCTGGAATGGTGTCAGGTAGCCTCTGCTAAAAACAGTCAGCACGGGAACTCTGGTGGCCCACAGCGCAGCCAGGATGGGCGAGACAAAACAAGCTCCTGAAAACGTGCGCGGGGCATGACCGAATGAACTCTCTGCAGACCGCCAGCGAGGCCAGTGGGGTCCGAGAAAGCCTTTCCTAAGGTCAAGATGACGTTGGCAAATAGAGGACTGACCACACTGCCGATGGCCTCTGGCAGGGGTTCCAACTCGGTGAGGAAAGGCAATCAAAGATGAGGCCTCAACTAGCCTTCTACTATGGTGGCAAGAAAATAATTAAAAAAAAAAATGTATCCCACATGATTTTGAATCAAAATACGTTTTCAGCTGTATCAACCTTTGACCCTTTACGATCTGACAGTTGCCCTAAAACCTAACTTCTGGGGGTGCCTGACTGGGTGGCTCAGTGGGTTAAAGCTTCTGCCTTCGGCTCAGGTCATGATTGCAGGGTCCTGGGATCGAGCCCCAAGTTGGGCTCTCTGCTCAGCGGGGAGCCTGCTTCCCTTCCTCTCTGCCTGCCTGCCTCTCCGCCTACTTGTGATCTCTGTCTGTCAAATAAATAAATAAAATCTTTAAAAAAACAAACAAACAAAAAACCCCTAACTTCTGGCTCGGTCCATTTTCAATGTCCATGTTTAATTTTTAAATTTCATTTCAGAGGATTAAAACTTAACCTCTGGAGATGTGTCATCTCACTCTGGGGCCGTGTCCCCTAAAGGCTGTCTATTTAATAACCCCCTAAAACAGGATTCTTAACTTGAGGTCTGTGGGTTCCCTATAGGATTCTAGGGTCCAGGAACCCCTTGAAATTATATGTGAAGGCTTGTGTGTATGTGATTTTCTTTGGCAAGGATCTGCAGATTTAAAGATTTATCTATTTGATTGAGAGAGAATGAGAGAGCGCTCATGTGCTCTGGGGAGGGGCAGAGGAAGAGAGACAATCTCAAGGAGACTCTCACTCAGTATATAGCCCGACATGGGGCTCGATCTCACCACCCTGAGATCGACAATCTGCAGATTTAATTAGGTTCTCCATGGGAGTGTGCGGCCTAAAAATGTGCACAGCACCCAAAGTGCTCCCTGGGTTTCCCCTGCAGCTCTGGTCCCGCACCTCACGGAAGACCCCCCACCTACGCCGATCAAACGGGCAGAAGATGAAAATTCAAGAAGCTGCAGTTCATTAATACGGATTTATAAGTCTGGTGACTGAAGGGCCCCAAACAAGATCCAGCAGGAGTTCTAAAGTCTCTCTGACGTGATTCTGGTAACATGGTCTTTCCTGTCCCCTTTGTTGGAAAGAGAACCAAGAAATGCAGCATGTGGCTTACCAGTTTCCTTGTTGGTCAAGAATTGAAATTTTATGGAATTAAAAAGAAGTCCCTCCCTCCCTACTTCCTCTCACTACTTTTTTTTTTTTAAGATTTTATTTATTTACTTGACAGACAGAGATCACAAGTAGGCAGAGAGGCAGGCAGAGAGAGAGGGGGAAGCAGGCTCCTCGCTGAGCAGAGAGCCTGATGTGGGACTCAATCCCAGGACCCTGGGATCATGACCCGAGCCAAAGGCAGAGGCTTTAACCCACTGAGCCACCCAGGCGCCCCTCACTACTTCTTAACATAAGGGGAAGTGAGGAGGAGAAACAAAACTGAAAGTCTGGGCCATACATACCTATGTCCCTTCTTCCTCTTTACCGCAGATTGACTGTCCTTGAAGAGTTGTACAGCCGGGCCGCTCGGTTCAGATCTCTTATTCAAATTAACCTAAAAGCTGAAAAGATTGGACAGTCATGTTTTAAAAGATGAGAAAGAAGCAATTTAATTAAAATAAAAGCACAGTCTAAGTCGCTCTTCCTTTCAGGTCTTGGGGAGAAAGATCATTGCTTTCCTTAACGCATACGCCACACTCTCGGCCCTTGGCCACTGGAACAAACCTGCCAGGGGACGTCTTTGTAGAGCCACAAACTGACAGGCTCTCTGGTTTTGGGGACAAGTTATCTGTTGCGTTCAGAACTCTGGCTAAAGCACATGCATACGGCTTTCGTGATTTATCTTACAACGTCATCTTCAGAAAGGCCTGAGAGCTATCATGCGGGTGACCGAGGAAATCACTTATTAGCAACGCTTGAGGTCGAGACGGCCGTGGGTTGATGCATCCCTTGTCTCCCAAACACAGAGCAGCGACAGATAAAACATGAGCTGAGAGAGAGAAGGGCTTGGAAGCCTGGCACTGGGAGCAGAAGAGCGCTGGAAGCATGGAGTGGGAAGTCACACTGCCTGCCAGGTCTGCATCGGGGCTGGGGGCTGGCTGTGGAGGGCCGCCAGGAGCTAAAAGTGTGCTGTGTGAGTGGGGACCCAGAGCAGGGCCTGCTGTGCTGCAAATACATGGCTTCCAAAGCTGAAAACAGAGAGGGGTGGGATGGAGGGGCAAGACGGCGTTTTTACGGCGCTGCCTATATGCACCAAGTCCTGTCCATGCTACTTACCTATGCCATCCTTCCTGCACCGTACGGAGCAGATACTAGTATTATTCCCATTTCACAGATGGGAAAACTGAGGCATAGGAAATTTGAGTGACTTGCCCAACCAAGGCCACCCAGCTAGTAGGTAGAGAAACCAGGATTCACATCTGGCTCCAGAAGCCCTCCTCTTCTCCCTCACTCTGTGCTATTTGTAAGGAGGAAAAGTAAAGAGAGAGAGAGAGAGGGAGAAGCAGGCAAGAAAGAAAACTGAAAGGACAGAAGACACAGAGGAGACAACAGTGGATTGCACACAGTCACACAGCGGTGACAGCAGAGCTGGGATCTGAGCCTACAGTTCTTGGATTCCACCACATCAAAATGACCTTAAAAGTAAATGAAAGCTGCTTGAAGGGGAGACTCAATTAACCTTCAGAGCAGTCTTGCTCAACCTCAAATTTTATTATTTCTTCATATTTTGAGACAAATTAGCCACAGAAGACCAGGCTTTGTTGAGGTGGGGACTGAAGAGCAAAGTCTCCAGCCACATCACAAGGCACCCGACCTTTCTGGGGCTCAGCTGTCAGCCCAAGAACAAGGATCGAACGGACCAAAGAGCCAAAGTCAGCAGCCCAGGGGATAGCGTTGTGTTTGACCAGCATTTTACAAAATTAAGTTCATTAGCCTCCAAGTTATAAACACCAGGGGACTTCAGATAAAAACCTGAATTTCTGGTTCCTCTTGGGGAAAAAAAAAAAGACAGAGAGGGAAAGAGAAGATCTGGCAACACTGAGCTTGTGTTCTCACTTGGCAATAAAGGATGGAGCCGAGAGGCAGCTGCCCCTTCCAGACAGGGCCTGCGACCTCCGTACTGCCACAGTCCCCACCACTCCCTATCATGCCCCCACACTGACCCTCCCCCCCACCCCCCCGCCTGCTTAATCATTCATGGTGCCGGCGTGGTTCCTGTGGCCATCCGACCACTAGAGAAACCTGTGTTAAGATCCCTCTGGCCCTGGATCAGTCTGCACTGACTGAATATTCAAAACCTACGCTAATCAGTATATATATAAATAATAAATTCATAGAAGAAATTCTGGAAAGACAGAGTGGTACATCCGATGTGATGCGTTTTGTAGGGCTCCCAGCTCCGTGGGGAGTCTGCCTCTCCCTCTGATCTTCTCCCCTTCTCCCCTCTCACGCTCTCTCTCTCTCAAATAAAATCTTAAAAAAAAAAATATGTGATGCGTTTTGTTGTTATTCATGTGGATGTTTATCTATCTATGCCTTTTTCCACAAACTATTTGAGGAGGTTTCAACAGAACGCTGAATGGGAATGTATGTATAAAAACCCAGAATTGTGGCAGATGGCTGACTGCTTCCCCAAAGTCTCTCCTTCTTCCTAGTAAGAGACCTGGAAAATGGGCCTGCCCCACTGGAAAAAACTATAGATCCCAGCTGCCTTTGCAGGTAGGTGAGTCCACATTTAAATTCTAACCAGTTCTGAAGGTGCTGGTCTGAGTTCTCAGAGTTCTCTTAAGCCTCCTTAAAAGGCAGGAGGTTAACTCTTCTTCTACGCTTTTCCCTTCATATATCCCTGGAATGCAGACGATGTGGCTGCAACCCCAGCAGCCACCTTGGGCCATGAAGGGACCTTGAGGTTGCTCTAGGAGCCATGTTAAGAGGACAGCAGAGTAGAAAGACAGAAGCCTGGGGTCCCTGGTGATTTCATAGGGCCACCATGACAGACCTAGACTGCCTACCTCTGGGTTTCTTTTACAGGACCGAATAATCCCTTCCATGTTTAAGCCATTGTTATTTCTAGATTCTTCCTGTCTGCAATTTAAAAGAATATTTATTTATTTGAGAGGGAGAGAGAGCGCATGCACGTGGGGAGAGGAGCAGAGGAAGAGGGACAAGCAGACCCTGCTGAGTGCAGAGCCCGATGTGGGGCTTGACCCTGAGATCACAACCTGAGCTGAAACCAAGAGATGGATGCTTAAGTGACTGAGCCACCCAGGTGCCCCTAGTCTGCAATTTCTAATGATAGAAGAGGAAATACTGTATACCCAAATCTTCTGGATACCATAGTCATTGGGCCACTACAGTATAGGTAATTTTTCTTTTTTTTTCTTTTCATATTCAAATTCATAATAATAATAATAATGTTATTAGAAAAAAGCCTTAAAATAACAACTAAAAAAATCTAAGAAGGGGACATCTGGGTGGCTCAGTTGGTTAAACGGCTGCCTTCGGCTTGGGTCATGATCCCAAGGTCCTGGGATCGAGCCCCCCAACAGGCTCCCTGCTGAGCAGGGAGCCTGCTTCTCCCTCTGCCTGCTGGTTCCCCTACTTGTGCGCTCGCTCTGTCAAATAAATAAGTAAAACCTTTAAAAAAAACCTAAGAAGGAATTATGAACATCTAGACGAGAAAAATCCCTCTGTGAACACACACAACAATCACGGATGTGAGTAAACCTAGAATGGACCTGAGCTTTCTGACTACAAGAGCAAAAAGGGGAAACCCAGTTAAACTCCTGGTTCTCCAAAGCAGAAAGAAAGGTAATGTGTATTGTACTCTGATCCCAGAAAGCAAGACAGATAACAAGGGGAAGCTGGGCTTTTCTGGCACAGAATCACTAAAAAAAAAGAAAGAAAGAGAGAAAGGAAAAAAAACCCTCTGTGGGACTTTATATAAGGGGACCTTGAGGGATGTGATAGGCAATGTCCTCCTACAATGTTTTTTAATAGCAAATGCACTAGAGAATTAATTTCCTCAACCCTCAAAAAACATCAAGGGTTTTAAACTGAATTCAGTTCAGTGAAGGCAATCCCCTGAGAGATTTGTAATTATTATGGTCTAGAGATCCACCCTCGACCCGAGGCTTGAACCAGAAGTCCCAAGAAGCAGGGCAGTTCGACCACATGTCCCCAGGGCCACCTCCCTTGAACTTGAGTGGCTCAAGGACCTGGCAACCTACTGTGTGCCTAGCACGATGCTAAGCTTTGCACTGGACCACAGTGAAGCAGAACTCTCACTTTACCTGGGGAGGAAAGAAGTTAATCTTTCTTAAAATGCTTATTTTAATCTCAGTATAATTCGCATATGGTGTGGCATTAGTTCCAAGTGTACAATGCAGTGATTCACTTCCGGACAACACCTAGCACTCATCACAAGTGTACTCCTCCATCCCTATCCCCTGTTTCTCCCATCGAGCCCCCCTCCCCCCAAGCCGGTCAGCATCAGTGGGTTCTCTACAGTAAAGAGTCTGGTTCTTGGTTTGTTTCTCTTTTTTTCTCCTCTGTTCATTTGTTTTGTTTCTTAAATTCCACACGGGTGAAGCCATATGGTATTTGTGCTTCTCTGACTGACCTTTGGCTCAGCATCTTATCTCTAGCTCCATTCACATCATTGCAAACGGCCACAGTCCTCTCTTCTCGATGGCTGAGTAGTATTTCATTGCATATATAGGTACACCAATGTGCTTTACGCATTCAGCTACTGATGGATGTTTGGGCTGCTTCCACATCTTGGCCATTGTAAATAATGCCGCAATAAATAAAGGAGGGCATGTATCCCTTTGAATTCGTGTTTTTGTATTTTGGGGATACATAGTAGTGTGACTACTGGGTCATAGGGTAGTTCTATTTTTAACTTTTTGTGGGACCTCCATTCTGTTTTCCATAGTGGCCTCACCGGTTTGCATTCTTGCCAACAGTGCACGAGCATTCGAAAAGAAGTTTATCTCAGGCTTCTCTATACTTTAGAAATTTGAGGACAAGAATAAATGCATCTAGGAAAAGAATGAAGGAGGGAAGGACTTATGGAGGAGCTAGATCTACAACTGGGCCTTGAGTATAGGGTCCAGAAGGAACATTTGTAAGTGTGAGAGAGAGTGTGTGCGTGTGTATGTACAGTTTATATGAATTATATATAAATACGTATTTAATATACATATTAAATCCATATATATACACACACGTGTGTGTGTGTGTCTGTGTGTATAAAACCAGGCATTAATTAACTGGCAATTTCAGAACAAAACCCTTGACATGCATTTTAATTTACCTTGCTGCATTTCATTTTTATGGTGTTCTCTCTTTCCAAGTTCGACCTGCCATGAACTTGGTCCAGACATAACAAAGTAAGCTGCCATTATACTATTTCGTGTGCCCCCTCTCCCTTTTCTGGGCAGGCAACATGCGGTTAATATGAGTATCAGGCAGCCCAGGTGGGGAAAAGGAGTCCCACAGAACAGCCAGGGGGGCTGGGCATGTGCAAAATGGAAAGGAAGCATTGCCCCCCCACCCC